TAGAGCGGAGTGGGGATGGACAGCGGGCTGGAGGCCCGAGTGGACTGAACTGTTGTTGGACTGGGGATTGGTGCGGGTGGTCGGCGGCTTGCGAGCCTGGGCGGACCATATATGGAAGCCCCTCTGCTGATCTACTGAAAGACTGCAATGCTTATCTTTTTAACTTTATTTTCATTTCTCTAACTTCTACTATTTATGTATTTTGTATAAGATTTGTATCTAAGATGGTGCCATATGGGGTGACGTTGTAAACTTTTTACTGTACTCCTGTACTTCAGTACTTCAGTACATGTAACAATAAAGGATATTCGAATTCATTTGGGTAACATTTGCTAGATAATCCTTGATGTCAAAGATTTATGCTGACAACCAATTTAAGATTGTCAGTCAGCCTTGCAGTGTGCTGCACTTGCATGGCCATACAGGGTCCTGTTGTTTGCAAACAGAAAGAACACAGTGTGCCTGTTTCAGTTTAACAAAAAAAGGGTGACAACCACTTGCTGTCAGAGCAATGCTCTGACCAATCATGATCATGCTGCTTGGTTTAAAATTTAAACAAGTCTGGTAGTTAACTATCAAGCGTTACTAACTGGTGTATTGTCAATGGCAATACGTCATAAGAGTCCACTTGCCAACCAACCAGGACTCTCCTTTCATCCAATATAAATGTTGGTTTCCCCTTAAATTGGTATTCTTGTGAATTGTCCTGATGCATGCAAGATGAAAAGCTTTGACCAGAGATATTTTCTTTTCAGCAATACTTACGTTGTGTACTTCAAATTAACTATTCAAAGTCAACCTCAACTTCTTAATACCATCCCATAATATTTATAATCCCCTGTACTTAGTTAGATACAGGATACTGCTTCTGGGTAGATAGGCTAAAAGCATGCTACCATTTATGTCAAAAGCGGTTTACCATCAATTTTCATCTTCTCAGGCCAACATCTAGATGAGAATTGAACACCATGGAAAGTATTAATTACTTTAAAAAGGAGATGAATGTTAATGATCAAGGTATATTTTAGATTAACAACATATGACTCTTTATTTATATGCTGACACTTTTGCAATTCATATAAACGTGACTAAGGTTAGCATCGGCCATCTTTTGTATATTACTTTGGTGCAGAATGGTTACTCAGCTACAACTATGAAATGCTCTGTTTTTGTGTTGTTGATTCAGGGAGAAATATTGGCCAGGATACTCAGATTCTGCATCTTCAAAAAGCTACGGGATCTTTTAATTTCAAACGAAAGAACAGCCAGCCAGTTCAATGCCTCATCTGAATGATCGCAGCTCTGAGTTCCTCAGTACCATGTTGGAGTTTCAGTCTTAAATCATATACTCAACTCCTGGAGTAGATCATACTGAGAGGACAATAGTTATGTTTATTTCTGCTGAAATAACTAGATGACCTTATGTCCACGTACATTATGAACGTTATTGTGCTGTGAATTTCCTTTTTAAGAAAGGTTATCCTTTTTGAGATTTGAAGAATTATATGAACCTGATGAAGTGACATTGTTGTACTGTATAAATTCAAAACTTGTTTTCTTGAGGAGTAAGGTCTGAACTGAATATGAAATTCACTGATTCTTCTTTTAAGATACTGGAATTTAAATTTGACTTAATTAAGAAGATTGCTGCATGTGTAAGTTCTGGACATGGAGTACTGCATTATCTTTGACTGTAGGGATTGCAATTTGGAGATGCAGGTCTTTTAAAAAAAAATTACTCCACTCATAACATGAAGAAATTCCTTTAAAGGTTATTGGTGACAAGCATTTATGTTGTGGGTTTGATTTAGTGCTTGGGAGAATTGAATTGCCATATTACAGAGTCTGGACATAATTACAAAACCTCGATGCTTTGCATTGAATTTAGTTATTTGCTACAAGACAAAAGTATTAAATATAGCATGTAAGTAGAAGGCTTCCAAAATTAAACCACAGCCTCATTATATTGTTGATTATTGCACAGTATTTGTTGAAACAGAAATACTTGTCTTTTTCTTAAAAGAGACCTGATTCTGCACACATTGTAATAACTGAGTATTCAGCTTCCCCGCCCAAGGATTCATTCATTTGCACTTTTAGGGTAATTAATTATTGGATGTTAAACTCTAATGCACCATGAATTTCCAATTGCAGTTTTGATAATATTATTGCTGTTATACCTGTTTTACAAACATCAGTATTTAGAATGTATTCAAAAACACACAAGTGACATTACCTTAAAATATGCTGACAGAAATAACATTTCTCAATGGACTGTGTAGGTCTGGAGCACATTCCCTCAACCAATCTAAATGTCTGGGTATTGAAGCCAATGACCTACAAAACAGATGATATTGCAGAAATCTCAGTTATATGAGTTCTGAATTGCTTAGGTTTATGTTTTAGTGACTTAAAATGATTGGACATGCTATTTCAAAGAAATCTGATTATTGACTTCTTTCCCATAACAAATCAGAAATTGTAGTCAGTGAAACTTTGCCTAAGCTCCCGAGTCACTTTAATGTGGATTTTATTTAGTACCTCAAGCATAATTGTGGAGTGTTACCTAGCAGGGGAGATACTGTGATCCAGAAGGTGGTTCTCCCAGGATGAATCTGAGCTGAGAACCTTTCATCATTGGAAGATGTTGAGATCATCGCTGGGTTGTGATTGTGACAACTTGGAGGATTGTCGGTTGAGCTGAGCTGAAATTTGTGGATCTTTATGCTGGCTTCAGCCTAACGTCAATTCAGTGACCCTCTCTATTACGAGCAAAACCTGGTGTCTGTTGTTGTACGTGGCACAATTCTGGCCCAATTCTCAAACCTGTGCCATTGCAAGCTGAGCCATCTTCCACTTCATCTGGAGGCGTAAGTTGGACCATGTTCACATGAGCACCATGTATGAAACTCTGGATAAGGAGGGATAAGGAGGGGAAAAGAACGTACCCAATGCCGTCCTCATCCTGATGGCCACCTTTGTGTGCGGCTGCATCAAGCTGTGTGTAGATCCTTAGTATACAAACACCAAGTGTCATTACATACAGAGATTATACCTGGCCCCAGTGTTGCGAAGGATGGGTCTGGCCTTGTTGTCACAGAACATTCCAAGTATTTGGACCATTCCATATCACCTGTCCTTTGTAGAGAAATTTGCAAAGAAAAGCACCTTTGACCACAAGTCCATCAGGAATTAGTCAGCATGTAGCATCCTCGAGACCCTGCAGGAAAAGGAGAGGCTGGATCCTGTCAGGTTATTCCCTGAGCAGGCTGTCAACGTCATTTGGTAGAATGCCTCATCACCAGAACTTTCTAGCAAGCACCAAGATGTCACTTGGCTGGTGGTGAGAAGGACACTACCTGTGAGATCCTTCATGTACGCCTGGACTCGCCACCACATGGTGCCCTTGAAGCGACTGTGTGTGTGTGGTGTGGGGTGCGGGGGGCGGGGGGGGAGTGTAAACACAGTCACACATCTCCTGCTGGAATGTGCCTTTGCAAGGGAAGTGTAGAGAGAGTCCCTGATCCAGGACTCTATGCTCTACAGTCTGTTCCCCGGGGCGCACACTAAGATAAACATTGACTGTGCCTGGAGGACCATCAACTCCGTGAATGACGCTCCCTAGTCTGCCTGAAACTAGTTGGTGTTCCAGAGCAAGGAGTTGACCGTGATGAAGTGTTGCAGACTGGCACATTCCAAGGTCCAGGACTATGTGCTGATAGATTTACTGAAGCTTGGGGCAGCTGCCGCCCCAGCGCAGTGGGGAAAGACCACTGTCCAAGGTCTTCGTGCTGAAGTTAAATGGGGTCCATTCAGTTACTGGACACTACCGATGCCTCAAAATATATATAAATGTAATTGTCTACCAATAAGAAATGGCTTTGTTCTGTTTGCTGGACAAAGTCAAAATCCAAAATTTGCTTCAAAATTGAACTGGTTCTGAGGAAGGGTCACCGGACCTGAAACGTTAACTCTGTTTTTTCCTTCACAGATGCTGCCAGGTCTGCTGAGCTTTTCCAGCAACTTTGTTTTTGTTCCTGATGTACAGCATCCGCAGTTCTTTCGGTTTTTATCCAAAATTTGCTTGCTTCTTCATACGCAACTGTACAGAACTGAACTGCTTTAGTGACTATGTATATTAAAGATATTTTTATGAATAAAGTATATTTTTGAAATGAAAAAAAAAGTTTTCCAGCAGCTGGGAGTACACAGAAATAATATATAGGTTACCCTTTTTAAAAGAACGAAACAAGAATGTCGCACTTCAGTAACTCGAATACAAAGCAAGAAGTTGCTAATCCTGTTATGGATGGTGTTTCAGATTGTTTTACAGGAAATCGCATTATAACCATCCGTTGCAGGAAATCGTTTTGAAACTTCCCTGGAGGCGGGCCAAAAACAAGTTGAGTGGTGACACCAGTTCCTTCAGCAGTATCAAATTCAGACACTTGCATTAAATATATCTACTTTGCGCATCTGGGCTGCAAACGTTTATCTGCGCCTCACTACGATGACACCCGCCTACTGATTCACCCTTTTACCCTTCACAACGATGAGATGTCAGAGGAACCCTTTGGGCACTTTAAGTGACTGTGGTGATGAGCAATAATTAATGGCTTGTTAGTAAGATTGGTTGCTGTATACACACGACCTGATTGATGTGCCCTTCTTGTACTTTCATTAATAAGATCGCACAGGCAAGTTGCTCATTGACTCGCACCAACCCCGCGCTTTCTCCACCCAAACAAGGAGATACAGTCGGACCGCTGCCATGGAGACGTGACGTCTGCGGCTCTCCCATTGGTCCTTTCCCTATTGGATACACTCGCTTGGGAATTTAAAGGCGGGGCCACCGCCTCCTACCTTCCTCGCCGCCGATTGAGCGGCGCATGGAGCGAGGCGGCTGAGGATTGGCGGAAGGGGAGAGGCGTGTCCAGGAGGGGGCGGGGTTCGTTCCAGGTCCCACCCTCTCCTCGTGGTTGGCGGGGTCGACTGTCACTCAGGGAGCGTCATTGGAGCGGTGCTCCCTTAATTCGGGGAGTAGGGCGAAGAGAATGAACACACTGGGGCATCATTGACACTGAGCTGGTTCTTTTAACGTTAGCGTTAGCTGCACAGGAGATGGTCAATGAAGAGCAGCCGGACCAGACGAGTACTTTCAGTTGCAAGGACTACTGCTTGATAATTTCTTCCGATCCCTTCACAGAGGAATTGCTCCTGAATGTTCGCCCTTTTGGAGCAGCATTTGTATTAGCTCCTCTTTAAAGGAACACACGATTGCGTTAGGCTTGTGCTTTTTTTTAGGGGGTGGGGGTGGGAGGGAAAGGGGTGGGTTTGTGGGGGCACCGTTCCAGTTCAGAGCAAGACACTGGCCCGTCGGCGATTCCAATAAAGGTTTTCCTCATGAAAAATCAGCTTTTCTGTACTACCTCGGCCATGGCGATGAACAAGAGTGTCGACTGGCTCCAAGAGCAACTGGAATCCGGGGAGGCGAGCCTGCTGCTGCTTGACTGCCGCTCTCACGAGCTGTACGAGTCTTCGCACATCGAGTCAGCCATCAATGTGGTCATCCCGGGGCTGATGCTCAGGAGGCTCAAGAAGGGCAACCTGCCCATCAAGTCGCTGATCCCCAACAACGAGGACAAGGAGAAATTCGTCAAGCGGTGCAGGACCGACACCGTCATCCTGTACGACGAGTGCACGATCGATTGGCACGAAAACGGGGCGAGTTCTGTCCTGGGCTTGTTACTACAGAAATTAAGAGACGATGGCTGCAAGGCTTATTACCTGGAGGGTAAGACTAGAAACATCCTCCTCTCAAAGTGTAACCAAACAAAAAAAAACTCCTGCTAAAGGAAAGAATAACTTCTAAGTTGGTTTTCCTTTCCACGACCATTCATTCCCCCTTCTATATATTTATGATCAAGTACCTTTTAAAAATAACTTTTCTTTCGCAATCAAACTGTTCTTTTATTCAACGTTGTGGGATAATAATGCCTCAAAAGTCACTCTGATGAACTTTAATCATGAACTGTTTGGAAAAGTCAGTAGTTGCATCCCCCCCCCCCCCCACCCCGGCTACTCTTGATTTTGTTTTGGATGGAGTGACACATTGAGCATTGAAACTTTTTTAAAAAAAATACCATCACTCTTGTGCCTGTTTACGAGACGTGCCTTCAAACTTGGGTAACAATTTTAGGATTCCCCCCCTTTAATGTGTGTGTGTGTGTGTGTGTGTGTGTGCGCGCGCGCACGCGCGCGCGTGCATGTGTATATTCATACAGTACAGTGTTCCGATGCGAATACCAAGTCCGTGTGATATTTGGGGAAAGAGAAACAAAATCTTTCCACTTAAAAATTCCAAAATGGCTCCGCCATGTTGTCTTGGTTGAGTAAAATCCGTGTTTTCATGAATGAAGAACTCTCCTGGTGTTTTGTTTTAAATCAGCAGGCGCAGAGTTGTCATATAATACCCAAGTATGGGTTTATATCGTCATAACCATTACATTTAGAAAGTTGACTGTTTTAATAGGTGCTACTGAAATTATCAGCAGTACAGTGGCTTGGTTCTATTTACAACTCCTGGTCTCTCTCTCTCTCTCTCTTTCGCACACCATAGGGGGCTTTAATAAGTTTCAGACTGAATATCTAGAGCACTGCGAGACCAACCTGGATTGCTCCTGCCCCAGCAGTTCGCCTCCCGTGTCGGTGCTGGGTCTGGGAGGACTTCGAATAAGTTCCGACTGCTCTGACGGGGAGTCCGATGCCGATCGAGAACCCAACAGCGCGACCGAGTCGGAAGGCAGCCCCTTGCCAAATAATCAGCCAGCTTTCCCCGTCCAAATTCTGCCGTATTTGTACCTCGGCTGTGCCAAAGATTCGACCAACCTGGATGTCCTGGGAAAGTATGGGATCAAATACATTTTGAATGTAACCCCTAATCTTCCCAACATGTTTGAAAATGACGGGCAGTTTAAGTACAAGCAGATTCCAATCTCAGACCACTGGAGCCAGAATCTTTCTCAGTTCTTCCCAGAAGCTATTTCTTTCATAGGTGAGCCTTTCTTTTTAAAGGTTTCCAATTCATAGTCAATAACGCTTTGTTAGGAGGAGCTGAGTTGATCTGCTCTTGAGCTCCTCCATCATCCTTCGAAGTTGTACTTGCATGTGCGTATTTCTAAATCTCAGATGCCTAAGTTGCCTTTGTCTTCACAGTCTGTACGTTACATGTGTTAAGAAATATAATTCAAAAGTAATGTATTGTTGAGGCAACTGACTTGGTGTATTGTGCGTTCCTAAGAATATCTAAATTTACAATTTGAGTAATATAACCTTACATTTAAAAGAACTGGAGCATTGAAGATGCCAGTTCTGAAGAAATCTGGAAATTAGACTTGGTCTAATTGATCTGCTAACCACTTTTCGTGCCATCAATCTTGTTTCATTTATTTCAATTCTTAAGGTGAAATTACTCAAAATGGGTTACAGTATTGCGGTAAAGGAGCTATATTATGTTTTTGTTTGAGCATGTTGGTGAATTTTTTTTGATTCTAAGTAAATGCATAGCCTAAGTCTCACACTTTCTAATGTTAGTTGAACTTTTTACTGTTGTCTTAATGGAATAATAATTTATTCTCAAATATTAAACACTGATGAAATCTGAGGATACTTCTTGGGAAGGGGAAACTTTACAATTGTGTTCAAAGAATACCTGAAAATATTTAACTTATATAGCCATATTGATGTCTTATGAGATGATGTCTTTCTTCTTAAACTTAAAATGGCCCAATTACAGTCTGACCTTCCTTCATTTGTCCTCATCTTCAGTTCCACCCTTGGTTTAAGCAGTCTACCTGAGTCAGTTTTTTTTTGGATTTAGATGTGTAATCCTATATATGCAAGTTTATCTTGGTTCTCAGACATTGGAAATCAACAAGATTCATTTCAAGCAATGATCCATCCAATGATTTAAAGTAGCATTTTTATCCCTAACTAGATAATGTAATCCCTGTACATGGCTAAAAAGCTAGAGGCTGTTTTGAATATCAGCCACTTAAAGGCCCAGGTGGAAACAACAAATTTTCCCCTTCCTCTCTTTCCTACACCATCAACTTGCTCATCTGTATATCTGCAGTGATACTTTAGAATTATTTGGAAAAACTAATAATTGTCTTGTTATTGCCTCTATGTATATTTGTAATTAAGCTAATTCATTTTTACAAAATTAATTAATGCCCTGAATCACAAAATGACAAGTTTAAGCTGGAAAACCCATTCACATTTGAACACACCTACAGCTTGCCTGCTTGAGTTGCTCCCACTTATGCAGGAGTGGGGACAGTAAACTGCCTTCTTTAGCTTTCATTTGAGTCAAGTTTGGAAAATTAGTTTTTAAATTTTTGCTGGACTTCTAAAATGTTTACTAACTGAACGTTCAGTCGCAAAATTAACATTATAGTGAATAGACTTTTCAGTTGGTTGGAAGAAGCTGAAACATTTCTTGGTTTTAAGTAATGCACTTTGTTTACACAATTTGAAAAAGTTTAAGTATATAGGATACAAGAGTTTTAGATAGAATCAGTATCATTGTAATTAATTTTTTTTTATATTTATTTTGGGATAGATGAAGCCAGATCCAAGAAGTGTGGAATCCTAGTTCATTGCTTAGCTGGGATTAGCAGGTCAGTCACTGTGACTGTTGCATATCTTATGCAGAAATTGAACCTATCTCTGAATGACGCTTATGATTTTGTAAAAAGGAAAAAATCCAACATCTCTCCGAACTTCAACTTCATGGGGCAGCTTTTAGACTTTGAAAGGACTCTAGGACTTACCAGTCCTTGTGACAACAGGGCACCTAAAGAGCAGATGTATTTCACCACTCCTACCAACCACAACGTTTTCCAGCTGGAATCTCTTGAGTCAACATGAAGAACAGAACACGTGCAAGTCTTATCCTAACCGTTTGTTTGAAAAGCTTGTCATCAGGCGATTTTTGGGGTAAACTGGTCTGACCAGGTTGGTACATCTGATCACTGTTTGGAGAGCTCGCTATCTCACATCACCCTGATAAAGTAATCGGGGGAAATAAACTGATGTTCAAAGAGTGGGTTTTTGGCCTCAAGGTATTAAAGTTTTGGGAGGAATAGATTTCTGAGTGCAGTTATCTTGTGACAGCTGATTTAAGCACAAAAACTGGCAATTAAACCCACTATAAATTTGCTGGCTAAATGTGATGAAAGTCCTGGGCACTTGGACATCTCCAGGAAGGTGCCATCCCAGTACTCTTCTGATTTGCATTTTGAGTTAGTTTTACTCTACAAAATGTAGGGTTTCAGTTTCTTTCCCTCTAATAACCAGACTGTTGTACAAGCAGTTATTGTTCAGTCACATTTTTATGATTGTTTTCTATGTTATTTGTTGACCTAATGCAGTTTGCACAGTTGTGAAGCCTTCAAGTCACGGCACTTCACTGGTACTCCACAGAGAGAATGGACACTTCATTGTAGTAGGCATCTAGCAAATGTGAATGGAGCAGACCTGGATCTTGCCTTGAGTTTTGGAGGAAAGTTAGCAGTGCAAGGAGATAGTTTAATTTGTTTCCCTAAAACTTAAAGCTGAAAAAGATGGACTTTTTTGAAGTCCCAAACCAATTTCTTTACAGCAGGTTGCCCTGGCTGTGTGCAGTTAACAGCCTGTGATTAATGCCAAACAGCTGGGCTAAATCAGATCCAGGTCAGTCTGTCAGTGGGAAGTAATTGTAGATGCCAGCACTTATCTTGCATATTACATATTGAATTTTTTTTTTCCTCTACTGTTGCTGCTACTCTTGAGGTCTCAGAGTTGAAATAGAAACCTTTATTGAGCTGCAAATAACAGAAACCAAGGTTATTGTAGTGTTATACCTGGGTGGAAAATTGTCTAAGGCTTCAGCTTTGGCTGACCTCGTAACCTATTTCAGCATTTTTTTTGTATGTTCTCTTTTAATGTATCGAAAATCCACTGAGATGCTTGGTATTAAAAATGACTTTGATGTAATTTGTATTGATGACCGAAGCTTTTGGGTCCAAATTTCTGCAATATTTTGTGCATTCTGTTTCCTTTTTATATAAAAAGAAAAATCAAGAGGAATGTTCATGTGACTGTGTAAGATACAAAGAAAAGGTTTAGCAGTTTAAAGAACACAGGCATTATTTGGGGGAGGGGGAATCGGTTCATTACAAAATGGATCATTTTGCATCTTACCTCACTGAGGACTTTCAGGGATTATGAAAATGCATCAGTTATCGTGTTACAGCTGAGTGGATTTGTAAAGCTTTTGTGCTGTACATGGTTGAGATGCATACATGTTTCAATATGAGCTTGGTAGAGGGTAGTTTTTGCTTTCTGATTATGAAGGAAAAACTCTATATTGTATAGTATTCTGAACCAATACAACACATGTTTATACTGCAAATAAATATTGAATTATTTTTTTCTTTAAATGTTGTGTCACATTTGTGTCCACTTCATTTCTTAAATAAATCTATTTTTGGGACGTGAATGACTTTGGTGAGGCAATATGTTTTGCCTCTCCACAGTTTTCTGGAGGGCATGAAGAGTTAACTGCATATTTTAAGAATAAAAGTACAAACAGAGCAGTTTCTGAAAGAGATTAGTAAATCAGTTTTGTTTTTACAGTCATTTACTGGAATTCAGTTTCACAACATATGACCTCTAGTTTGTTAACCTGGTACCGTACCCACTAGGCTACTATCCTTTTTTGTTTTAACAATTCTTTTTTTCTCTCTGGAAGTTCCTGTTTTTGTCTTTTTATTTCGCTGCCTCTTCCTGTTCATTAAGTTAATGTCTTGTACGAAAGTTTTTCTTCAGGATTTCCTCTCTTTTGTTTTGAATCTCTGGCATATGCACTGTTTATTAGTTTCTGATGTTAGCCAATTGAAAATTGTAGCTATCACTTTTTCAGGGATGTGTAGTTTACATTAAATACTCTTGTCCTTGGTAAGATGAGGCTTTTATCTGCAATAAGATTGTTACTGACTTTTTTTTTCATAGTTGCACTAAGCTTGGTTTTGACAATTAAGCTCCACTACAGTTTTGATGCCAGGTGTACTTGCATTTAGGCAACTGGCCACTTGTTAAAGTGTACTGTAATTGTTATTTCTGATTATTGCCATTTCTGATGAAGGGTCTAGGCCCGAAACGTCAGCCTTTCTGCTCCTATGATGCTGCTTGACCTGCTGTGTTCATCCAGCCCTGCACCTTGTTGTCTCTGTAATTGTTAAGCAGTTTTTTTGGAGGGCTACGCATACCTAAATTGAACCTATTCCATTCTCCCTGGGATGGCTCTTTTTTTTAAAAAATTTGACAATCCTATGATTATTTTCAGTGAGTTTAACCTCCATGATGTCTCTTAATGTCAGTCCGTCCTTTTGGCTGAGTGAAAAGAAGGGAAGATAGAATTGCAAGTAGAAAATGGGTATCAAATATTTGATAGTTGATGCATCCTAAATCTGCGCATTTTTAAAAATGCTTGTTAGCCTTTGGAAATTCTGTAGTATGTTTTAATGTTTTTGTAAAGCAGTTGCATTTCATTTGTTGCAAATGAGCACGTTAGATTGGTGTACACGAATGCTGTCACTTTGAAATGATATTTAAATGGGAGTTTAAGTTTTGTATATGCAAGGGTACAGTGGTTCTAACTGTGAGGGTAATGGTGATAAAGGTACTGAAAAAGGAGAAAATCTACCATAAACATCCCAACAGAGTAGACCTTTCTGAAATATATTTCTTCAGCATTAAAATGTTAAGTTCTTTACACCTCTTAGCATGGACATTTTGATTCCCTAACTTCCAACAAGTGAATACTTATTTCAGTAAAGACGTTTTATATTTTCTCTTTAAAAAGTTGTGGCCACATCAATCTGACCGCCAGAAACTAAGTCCAGCTGTCCATGGCCTGACTATTGGAGGAGTTTCCAAATCATCCCTTAAGACAAGACCTATATTTTGATGTAATGTGTTATCGTAATGAAGTTTGGTTTGTTGATTTCATGTGCCATATAATTTGCTTAAACTTGCACTACATCAACTCTACAAATAATTTTTAACCTTCACGCCTTCTGGGAGACTGTGGACTGAATTAACTATAGTCATTTACATTTCTCTTGTCCATGATGTAAGGGAGTTGAACTCAATTTTGTAAATAGGCTGAAGTAGTATGTTTCTGTTCAGGGCCACAATTAAGCAATCTTTTATGATCTATTTTGACTCTAATATCAAGAGCTAGAATGCTGTGTACAGAGGCTCTGAGATCTGGAGCAGCATCACGGCTGAAGTCCATAGTTAGAAGGAAATGGTCAGCATTATGACAACTAATGCCATAACGTAGCCCATCGTTTCCAAAAAAAGTAACAAATTAATTTACAGTACTAAACGGGTATGCTATTGAAGCTAAATCTGCTAAACAGCAAACTTTAAAGTTGAACACAGCTATTTTCTAAAATGTTAACTCCTGTCAGAAAGCTAATGATGGTGGTGACTAGAACTCCTGGAGTGCTGAATGGTTTTTGGTTCTGAAAGATGAGGCTTATATCGGCAATGAGACTGTGTCTGAAGGTCAGCTGTGTTGCTATTTTGCTTCCTGTGTCATTTGTGGTTTTCAAAGCATAGCATCATGTGATTGGCGTGCTTCCTATATTTCTCACCGCTAAAGTTTCCCTTCCTTTCTCAGCCTCAAAATGTCAGTGAGTCATGACCAGCACAGATAAGGGTTGTCCTAAAAGTGTACTGTGCAAATTTCAAATTACTGCTGGTGTAAACATGCATCAATGCATTGTATTTCCTGAGACTGTTACAAATCTATTTTTTTCGTTGTGCTCTAATACCCAGAATGAATTGTGAACTTTAAACTTCTTTGTGTGGTAGCTTTTTATAAATTCTAAAACCCATTATTTTAATCAACCAGCACTGTTGGAGATTTTTTGACTGGTTAGTGTGATTACTTGAGCTTGATAGTGAGCTATATTTTCAATGTATTGCCCATTCCCTCCCTTTTTTTTCGTGCTGTTTGTTGTAATGCCAAAATAATTTAGAATTCTTTAAATGATCACACTACAACATTCCTATCAGTGGTGGTAGTAGAAACATTTTGTCCACTGAAATTATCTCTTTTCCTCTTGTTTTTCCCAATTCTTTGAGTAACATAAAACAGCTTTTCTGCAAAATTTGTAAATTTCAGAAAAAGTCTTTGCAGATGGCTGCTATTTCTGCTTCCATTCTTGATCAATTTAACAGGCTACTCAGTCTCTTAAAACAAATTTTCTGGCTTGTGACCCAGAAACTCCAGACATTATTGCTTCCAAGTAAAACAGGCTACAAATCCAATTTACTGTCAGCTAAATTTAAAATATATATTTCAGGTGTTGTCTGTACTCAAACTCCAAACCTTTGCAGAGGGTTTTCTTTTCCCCATTTATATTGAGTATATTTTAAGAATGAGGTCAAATGCCTCCAGACATGTTCAATATATTTTAAGTACAAATCAGAGTTCCAGTCTCTATTAAGCAATGACAGTATTTCAAGGACTGACATTGGAGCCCAGTTACATTTATATGTACACCCCTTATAAATTGGGTCTGACATAAAAAGATTCAGAGAACTCTTCTGGCTTTTTTTTTCCTAGAGGTTTAAATTGTATTTAAAAGCTTGAATTGGCTTCCCACTTAAAACTTCATTCTCCCTTGTACCAAGGAGAAACTGTAGTGTGTGCATGGCTCAAAGAGGAATTGCCTTTTCAGATCATCTAAACATCTACACTGTCAATCATCATGGATGTATTTTTAGTCGCAGAATGACTCCTTCCTGTTTGTAGATGCTCAAAATAATCCTTTGTTTTAAAAAAGAGACTGCTGATAAGGAAATGGCAATTAATGGATAATGACTTAAGTATAGTTCTTCAAAATTAACCAACAAAGATTTGATTTTTAAGTATTGTGTTTGTCAAAATGCTTTGAATTTACATGATCGATCTTCTTGTTAAATCAGTGATATTCTTAACTCCAATTTTAAATGTAATTTTGCATGTTGGGAAGATGGATGTGAAAGACAATACAAAAATCAATTGAAGAATGCTAAAGTTGTGTAATTTTGAGAATGACTGACGATACTTGAAGCTTTTTGTACCATTGACAAATAACTAACTTTAAGCCAACTGACATATGTTGATGGTAAAAGATATTGCTCTTAATTAGAAGCTGTGAATGATTAAGGGATTAAAGTTTTTTTTTAGTTTTTGGCCTTCGAAACACTGCAAATCATGTTTAGTGTTGATAATGGGCATGCTGCATCAACATACCAGCAAATACTAACCTCCTTTACCTGTTGGCAGAATCGGGGATCTGGAAGTGCCTTTGATTTGCATAGTGATAGGAATTGATATATATAGCTTTTTGTTCCATTTAAATTCATTTTTCTTCCACTCTAAAATTTGCCCATGGTTGAGATTTGCAGGTACGTATGTAAAAACTTTTAATCAAAATTACTTTCAAATGTTTGGGTATCCAGTTGATGATTTGGTGATGTAAAGTTCTCGACAGGACTTGCCTGGCATATCAGGTTGTTTTGTTTTTAGCTTGTTTTAACTGTACCATATTGCATTAATTAACTTTGCACAATATAATTGCATCCAACTGTCAAAATACCTTTATGGGGAAGAGCAAACTGAGGAAATAAACAAGCTGATCAGCATCTTTAAAGTGAAAAACAAAGAACCAGTGCTTTAATATAGATTCATGAATTGTGAACTACATGATAAATGAGCCCCTTTCAAAGATCTGGTTGTGGGGTAAAGGGTGAGTAGAGCAGGTTTAAAAAATTGAGTCTGCTGAATCCTGTCACAAATGAACTGTTAATAGATTTAACACTTTTTTTAGGTTTTCTCCTCACGTAACCTATTTATATAGATACATCTTAATGAACTTACTTTGGCGAAAGTCTGTCCCGTATTAAAATCGAACTGTTTCCATCTGAGGGGTCTGTAACAAAATTGCTTTATCTGTTCACTGCTTTATACAAGGTGAAGTATATATTCCACATTGATTCACACATTATATAGCTAAGTTGCACTCCCAACATAGGATATGATTCTTTGTTTTAAACAAGGGTTGGTGTTCTGTGCTGTTTAGCTGTCACGATCTCTGGTAAGAATATTTATAGTGTTATCAACATGTTCAGAACTTGGAATAATAATAGATTTTTGAAAAATAGTGATATTTGGATAACCCAGTGAAAAAAAAAATGGTTGAATCACTTGTTTCTCACCTGCTTAACAAAAATGCTTATCTGATTCATCCGTGGAGCAGCTTGTTAATTCCACATCCAGAGTTTTTCATGTTGAATTTCTGAACTCAAACTAACTGTCCAGTGATGCATCAAGCAGTGATGAAGCATCTTTCCAGATGGATGGAGGAAAGATCAGCAAGAA